TTTCAGAAATTTTGCAAGTGGTTTTTCCAAAATGCCTCCTCAAGAAACTGGAGGATGTAGAGAGTTGATTTTTGGCTCACTTTGTACAGAAGAGTGTGCTTTGGTTACCACAAAAAAATTACATTTTACTTTGGGGGAGTTTTTTGGAGATTTTGGTCAATTTTCAAACCTTCACTAGCAATTTTATGCTTCAGAAATTTTGCAAGAGATTTTTCCAAAATGCCTCCTCAAAAAGCCAGAGGATGTTGACAATTGATTTTGGCCCATTTTGTACAGAAGAGGTTGCTTTATCTACTACAAAAAATTGACATTTTCCTTTGGGGCAGTTTTTTGGAGATTTTGATCAATTTTCTAATGTCCACTAGGAATTTTCTGTTTCAGAAATTTTGCAAGTGGTTTTTCCAAAATGCCTCCTCAAGAAACTGGAGGATATAGAGAGTTGATTTTTGGCTCACTTTGTACAGAAGAGTGTGCTTTAGTTACCACAAAAAAATGACATTTTACTTTGGGGGAGTTTTTTGGAGATTTTGGTCAATTTGCAAACCTCCACTAGGAATTCTCTGCTTCAGAAATTTTGCAAGTGATTTTTCCAAATTGCCTCCTCAAGAAACCGGAGGATGTAGAGAGTTGATTTTTGGCTCATTTTGTACAGAAGAGTTTGCTTTAGTTACTACAAAAAATTGACATTTTTCTTTGGGGGAGGTTTTTGGAGATTTTGGAGATTTTGGTCAAATTTCTAACTTCCACTAGGAATTTTCTGTTTCAGAAATTTTGCAAGTGGTTTTTCCAAAATGTCTCCTCAAGAAACTGGAGGATGTAGAGAGTTGATTTTTGGCTCACTTTGTACAGAAGAGTGCGCTTTAGTTACCACAAAAAAATGACATTTTACTTTGGGGGAGTTTTTTGGAGATTTTGGTCAATTTTCAAACCTTCACTACCAATTTTATGCTTCAGAAATTTTGCAACAGATTTTTCCAAATTGCCTCCTCAAAAAGCCAGAGGATGTTGAGAATTGATTTTGGCCCATTTTGTACAGAAGAGGTTGCTTTATTTACTACAAAAAATTGACATTTTCCTTTGGGGCAGTTTTTTGGAGATTTTGATCAATTTTCTAATGTCCACTACGAATTTTCTGTTTCAGAAATTTTGCAAGTGGTTTTTCCAAAATGCCTCCTCAAGAAACTGGAGGATGTAGAGAGTTGATTTTTGGCTCACTTTGTACAGAAGAGTGTGCTTTAGTTACCACAAAAAAATTATATTTTACTTTGGGGGAGTTTTTTGCAGATTTTGGCCAATTTGCAAACCTCCACAAGGAATTTTCTGCTTCGGAAATTTTGCAAGTGATTTTTCCAAATTGCCTCCTCAAGAAACCAGAGGATGTAGAGACTTCATTTTTGGCTCATTTTGTACAGAAGAGTTTGCTTTAGTTACCACAAAAAATTGAAATTTTCCTTTGGGGGAGGTTTTTGGAGATTTTGGCGATTTTGGTCAAATTTCTAACTTCCACTAGGAATTTTCTGTTTCAGAAATTTTGCAAGTGGTTTTTCCAAAATGCCTCCTCAAGAAACTGCAGGATGTAGAGAGTTGATTTTTGGCTCACTTTCTACAGAAGAGTGTACTTTGGTCACCACACAAAAAATATTATTTTACTTTAGGGGAGGTTTTTGGAGATTTTGGTCAATTTTCTAACTTCCACTAGGAATTTTCTGTTTCAGAAATGTTGCACGTGGTTCTTCCAAAATGCCTCCTCAAGAAACTGGAGGATGTAGAGAGTTGATTTTTGGCTCAATTTGTACAGAAGAGTGTGCTTTAGTGACCACAAAAAAATTATATTTTACTTTGGGAGAGTTTTTTGGAGATTTTGGTCAATTTGCAAACCTGCACAAGGAATTTTCTGCTTCGGAAATTTTGCAAGTGATTTTTCCAAAATGCCTCCTCAAGAAACTAGATGATGTAGGGAGTTGATTTTTGGCTCACTTTGTACAGAAGAGTGTGCTTTAGTTATCACAAAAAAAAAACATTTTCCTTTGCGGGAGTTTCTTGGAGATTTTGGTCAATTTTCAAACCTCCACTAGGAATTTTCTGCTTCAGAAATTTTGCAAATGGTTTTTCCAAAATGCCTCCTTAAGAAACTGGAGGATGTAGAGAGTTGGTTTTTGGCTCACTTTGTACAGAAGAGTGTGCTTTAGTTATCACAAAAAAAAAATGACATTTTCCTTTGCGGGAGTTTCTTGGAGATTTTGGTGAATTTTCAAACCTCCACTAGGAATTTTCTGTTTCAGAAATTTTGCAAGTGGTTTTTCCAAAATGCCTCCTCAAGAAGCTGGAGGATGTAGAGAGTTGGTTTTTGGCTCACTTTGTACAGAAGAGTGTGCTTTAGTTACCACAAAAAAAATAATATTTTACTTTGGGGGAGTTTTTTGGAGATTTTGGTCAATTTGAAAACCTCCGCAAGGAATTTTCTGCTTCGGAAATTTTGCAAGTGATTTTTCCAAATTGCCTCCTCAAGAAACCAGAGGTTGTTGAGAATTGATTTTTGCCCCATTTTGTACAGAAGAGTGGTGTGCTTTATTAACCACAAAAAACTCGACTTTTTTTGGGAAAGTTTTCTGCAGACTTTGACCAATTTCCACACCTTAACATTTTTTTGCCAATTTTTGAAAAACAGGTTGTGCTTTTTTAAAAATGGTGCAGGCTTTTTTTCCGCAAAGCCCCTCAGCTCAACCAGAGCAGCCAGCGAGTCAATTTGTCTTTCAGTTTAAAGGAAGTGGAAAAATTTCGAGTTTTGTGGGCGCTTCCAAAAATCCTCCAGCATTTTCCCCGTCGGTCCAATTTTTTGGCCACTATTAGCCGCAAAAAACGCAAAAAAACACTCTTCTTTATGACAAGAAATCGGCTGACGTAACAGTCGACAGTGAGTGATCAGACCAAGTGGCTACCTGAGGAGTGGGAGGAAGTTGAGCGGCCCGGCCACCCCAATCAGCTTGCAGCCCTCCTCCTGCAGCTCCTGCAGCCAGATCCACGTTGGGTCGTCCCTCTGGTACCTCCGCCCAAACACCAGCTGGTTCACCAGCGAACCCAAGTGGTGGCGCAGCGCCTCCATCGGATCAACTGCGTGGCGCTTCAGCGCCGCGTCGATGTGCTGAAACCCCCGAAACTGAGCGGCTC